GTGTTGGAAACTGGACGTTGGGGGCGATGGGTGGTGGTGGGGTGGGATGGGTCAGGTGTGGGAGGCGAGCTCTGGAGGCAGGACGGGGCATGGGGAAGGGTTGGTGAGGAAAGGGGGGCGGGGGGTGGGGGGAGTGGGTGTTGGGGTGGCCGTGGTTGGGCCACCCCCATACCCAGTGGAGGTTCTCCAAATGAAGGAGAGCAGTGGCTGGGTTGGGCTGGAAGGGGGTCAATGGCTGCAGAGGGCTTGGCTGCACGGAGGTGTTGAGACAAGTCTGTATCAGTTGTGGGGGGCTACCGACTGTGTTTTGGGGGCTCAGCTGTGTTTGGGTACTATGGTGGGTTGATGCCAAGAGCGATGGGTTGGCTGTCTTGGAGCAGAAGGTCACGTCTGGAGTTGATGCAAGGATGCAGGCTATCCCGGCATGTATCAGGAGCGCGGGCGAACAGGGACAGCCAAAAATGTGCAACATATGTGTGATGGGAACAATCCGCAAATGCAGCGGGGAGGCTTTTTTGTGTCCGTGCGGTCCATGGGAACAGGGGGGTGCTTTGCATTAGGGGCGGCTGGTGTGGGAAGAGGCGTAAGAAGGAATGTAGATTTGGAGAAAAGGCTGTTCCTAGTGTGCCTTGTCTGTGTAGGCAGGTTGTTATCTGGGAGACTTGAGCTGTAGTGGGGTCTTGAGCTGCGTGTAAGTACTGATACATGGAGATTTATGGGTTAGTTATTTTGAGGGTTGTATGCAATGGTTGGTGTGTGGGGAGAAAGGGGGAGCTAGAGACGGCGAAGCAGGTCGCAGGATGGAGAGGCTGCTCCTTTACAGACACCGTGGAAGGGAGTTTCGTGGTTTTGAGATTTGTGCGCGTTACATATTCTTTGCGATGCTGCCCGATTAGGGTGGTTTGGGCTGTAACCAGATTGTCTTAGCTCGCCGTAGATGTTTGAGATTTCATATGTGATGCTGAGATTTCTCGATGAGGAGAGGAGATTGCAGGGGTTTGCCGAGTGGAGAACTGTGTAATACCGACTAGGAGGGATTGGGAGGGGAGGAAGACTTGAGAGGGAGCGTAAACAGAAATCCCTTGTCATCCCCCCCAGCTCCCCAGTAGCCCTGGCAGGCAGCTGCAGTGAAGATCTCTCCTTGGTTCATTCCTGTCTCTCGACCTCTTGTTTTGCGGATGGACTCTGCTTTTGTTAAACAGTTTTTATTTCTATTTTTGTTTGCATTTGGCGGCTTATTTATATTACATGTGTGTCATTCTTTGCCTATATTATTTCATTTGAGATTATTTCCATTACGTGGGTCATCTGGTGTGGGTTTGTTTATTTTGAATAGGGTTTTTTTCATATACAGATAACAAAAACGCTGAAAGTTCATGTTAAAACTAGATATTTCTTCTGCTTAAAGTCAGGGGCATACATGTCTTTTGTATCATGTGAAAAACTTGCCTTTATATAATGTTGTGATTAAAGGGTGCTTGTTTCTGGGGGATTATTTTCAGAATAAAAATTGAGGAGCCTTTTGCTAGCTGATGAGATCTAGGGTTTTTCTGCCTGACTACCGAAGAAGAGAGAGATCTGTGTCTTCTTGCTCTCTGAATTGTTCATCTTTCCCCCAATTATGGTAACTGTTTGGCATTTCTGTCCTCATGAATGCATAATGGCTTCAGCTATGCTGGTGATCGTTTTTTAGGCCGATACATGGATTCACTGTGATCACTACAGGGCTTAAATGTCAAGACCTCTTGTTTTATAAAAACAAGAACAAAACCACCTCAAGGTTCCCTTCCAAAATCAAATAATTCCTGATACCTGTGCCAATGGTGCTGTCTGCCAGTTATCAAGTAGGTTCCCAAAGTATTGAAATTTTAGCTTCGTGATCACAAGGTTCAAAGGAAAACTGCGCCAATACTAAAAGTGTAAGGCCAGCCTTCTGAAGCCTTTTATAGAGGGCTCTTCTGATGTGATGCACAATCAAAAAACAACTTGATGTTTAAGTTATCTTTAAATGATGGCAATTGTAGGACAGTTTAATAAATTTCAAAATTGTGTGACTTGCACTGAAGTGCTAAATGTATACGCTAAAATTTAATTTTTTTCCCCTGTGGCCTGCTTTTTCTTTTTTGGTAGGCAAAACTCTTTTGTTGCACACAAGCTATCTTCCCAGGTTTTGGAATAAAATTGCACTTCTGTTAATGGTTGGGCATAAGCATGAAGTTCTTGCCATGCGCAGTATAAGCCTGCTGGGGTGACAGCACTTACTGAAATCAGCCTTTATGAATGTTGTGTAGGGTTAAACTGCACTCTGAACTCTGCGTTTGAATTTTCCACTGAAATGTGCAATTTCAAAAGAGATGAAAGACACGAATTGGTTTTTTATGTTGAAATTTGACTTAAACTCTACAGAAAATGTATGTGGTCTGTGGTTTTTTTGTAGGTGAAAGTTACACAAGAGCTAAAAAACATTCAGGTTGAGCAGATGACAAAACTTCAGGCCAAGCATCAGGCAGAATGTGAGCTACTTGAAGATATCAGGTAAGGTTACAGAAAATGCTACCAAAATTCCTTTAAGATCCGGTTTTTGGAAGAACATTTGAGTTACAAAACTTCAGGAACTGACGATGGAATTTCCTCTTTGGATTTCCTGCTTTTAGGCTGTTAAAGTTTTGACACAGCTGGAAATTATAACTGGAGCTAACACAATGCAAACCATTTTTTCTTCTCTTCAATGGGGGAAATGTTAAAAAAAAAGTCACAAACAACATACAAAAAGCATTGGTCTTTTCAGCAATATTTTTCTGTATAATAGACTAAGACTTTGATTTACTGGTTGTAAGATTGCTAAAATTATTAAAATATTTTAAAACCACTGATGATTTATGTCTCACTAGAGATAGCTTTGAACAGCACTTTTAAATAGATTGTATTTTTTTACCAGAAACTTATAAGAAGCTATTTGCATTTATAATTTAAAACTCTGCACAGGTTAAGATCGATAGGGCAAATCTACATGACATCAGTTGTGGGGGTTTTATTATTCGTTTTACCTAATACGATTGCTTCTCTTGAAGTTAAAAGTTCACTTTTAACAAAATATGGTGGTAGTGGGTACCTGGTATTATACAGAGGATTAATCATTCTGTTTGGAGAGAATCAATTTCTAGGATGGGTCTTTTGTAAGATATTCACCAGTAAGTCCACTGCTGTCCTGTTCTTTCTGGCAGCGTACAGTCTACCTGTTAATTATTCAAATGAGATTTCTTGCTTCATATTTGTATATAAAATACAAATGTGTTAACTTTGACAGACGACGTACTGTTTGTCTCACTCTCACAGTGTCCTCTCTTCATAAATCAGAATGTTGGGGCTTAAGCCTTCTCTCCTCTGTGGGTGTTGAAACACTCTTATATGGGAAAGATCCCAGTGTTCATTTCCTTAGATTAAAATGAGTGGCTCTGCAGTGTTTAACAAGCAAATGCTGAGTAATAAGTAACAGACTGATTCAAGGAATTTTTTCCCCTAGATAGAAACTTGTTTTTAGAACATCTAGGCCAGGTACTGCTGCTCTAGTCCAGGTTTTGTTACCATTTCCTATTTTTCAGGCGCTTATAATCACTTCAGTCTGTATTCTGCTGAAAGACATCATAAGTATCATTAGCCTGTGGATACAAAACCAGGAAAACATGAAACTGCTGGCTTAAAATATTTTTCTTTAATGTAATTTAATTTCTACAGTTAAATTAATTTGTAAATTTTAATGTTATGGATTAAGAAACTGGGTTAATATATTTAATTCACTGACATGGTCACTAAACGTACATAGTCTCTATTCAGCATTTTTGTTGCAAGCAGTCTGCATTTGCAGGATCACTGCATGGATTTACAGATTAAAACATTCTTTAAACATGGAATGATGTGATAGCATATGACAGCTCCATCGTGTCAAGGATTTGTTCAAATATCAGATAACAGTAAGAGAGAACAAGAGAATTTTTGCTTAAAAACATTTGCTGAAAAAAACCCTGATCTTGGTTTGTGATGCAGAGGCCTTTTAATTGCATCTAGCTGTGGAGGAGGAACTGGGCTTTGAAGACTTGGTAGTCTTGATACTGCGCCGCTGGTCAGTGTGTGTGACACTTGTGTGAGAAGTTGGGTGTCAACCTCGTCATTCCATTACTTGTGTATTTATGGCTGTATTCAGGATATGCAGCCACCGTGATTCCGGAGTGTTCCAGAAAGCAATGCTCACTGGAACCACACACAGGATCTTTTTGTCTCTGGAATGAAGAATTATTTTTATAGAAGGCACCCTGCTGTTATCCAAAAGTATTAAATTTTAACTGAACGCTGTTTGTTTATCAAGGCTTGAGGGATTTTGGGTCCTTTCGTAGCACTGTTGGAGCTTTCAGGCACTGCAAGAGTACAACTTCATGCTCTTGTTTTATGCTGCTCTGAATTCTACAAACATAACTGCTGCAGTGGCAACAAGGAACTCTGAATACATGGCTTGCAAGCTAGTGATTAAGAATACATATTTTAAAATGTTAAATTATTACAAATAATTACTGTATTTGTTAGCATATAAATGCAAGCATTCAAATCACATATGTAATACTTATAAACCATAGTATTTGTATAGGATTTAAAACTCTTAATTACATTTTTTTATATCATTCCAGCTCAGTTTTGTATACAACTAAAAAGAAGCGTTACAACAAAAAGATCCGAAAGTTCTCTTAGGAGTTCTAGCAGAATACATCTATTGTTTAGTATATTAGCAGGTTTTTTTTGGCAGCCTACCAGATCATAAGCATACTTGCCATTCCAATAGCTTTGATATCTTTATGCAAAACTGAGCAGTGCTTTAAATGTTTGTAGTTTGAAGGCTTAAGCTATTTCTTTTGGAGAGGATGAAGACTGAACTACCGTTTATTCCAAATGGGATTCTTCTTAGTCAGGGTTGAGGCATGTAGGTGTAACTACCTTTTCTCCAGCCCCTCTGCAGATACTTAATCTCATTGAGGGCTGTGCATAAACAAAACCACTATGTTTATTTAAATCTAAAATACATCGTCTTTTTGAGTGATAATACAGTGTTTTGTACGCAAGGATGTAGATTCAGGTCCTGGAGGCCAGGAAGAAAAGGCAACATGTTTTGCTTTGTGGAAAGCATACATGGGATTTGACAAAACTACATGCTGGTAGTTGAGTGGAAAGCTTCCCTGGGAGTTGGACAACTTCTGACACAATGTAAAATTCTAGTATCTATTAAAAAAAAAAAAAAAATCGAGTATCCATTGCAGTCATAGAAACTGTGTTGTATTTCTCTTCTCTGTGGAAGCTTAGTAGCAGTAAAGCTGAAGTATCTTTTCATGACTTGACAAGACTATAATAAAAAATTGTGTTTTGAAATGCGTTAGCAAATAGGCTTAAAAATACATTTCTGTGTTTAGAATCTCTGTTTGGCTCTCTGCATTACATTTTTTTGTGCTTGGTGACTGGGGAATTTGTGGAACAAGTGATTCAGGATGCTTTTAGGATCATTGGCTCAGTTTTAGGCATGACATATGTTTATCTTCTGTAGCTCACTAAACCTACCATATCCTTTCATGTGGTAGATCTGTGCTGGCATTACTATAAAAAGATTGTCTTTCTGCAACTGTGATGGAGAAAGAGGGTTTTTTCCCCCGAAAGGTAAATGTAGGCTTCGTTGGTGTGAACCAGAAATCCTTCAGAGTTTCTCTATGGCTAGAAGTACTTCTTCACTCTATCTACTCCTGGCTGCTTTTAGGCAGCAAGTTAATACCCCCCCCCCCCCCACCCCAGGGGCCAACTGGGTTATGAATGGCTGAATTTATCAGAGGTGTTGGCAATTTTCATGTATTTTGGTTTGGTTTTAAAGATTGCATTATTTGATTGGTGGTAGTAAATAAGTCACATGTAGTAGTCTGAAATTGCCCTTAGTTTGCTGGGACATAGGCATACTTTCCTTTTGTGTGTGTGCATGTGTCTGCAAATTGGAGAGAGCTCTATATGATCCACATTTCAATTCAATTTGGTATTTCTGTAGTGTGTTTATATGCTATAGACTTCATAAACTTGTTAGGTGATAGTTGCTTTACCTTGAGCGTTATCTCAAGGCCTGCTTTTCAAAAGAACTGTATATGCCTTTACAGTTTTTGCTAATGTATTGTAAAATGTCTTTTTTTAAAACTTCTTTGCTTTCATGTTTTGCCAGTGAGAATGAGGTTGTGGTTACATGGCTGTATTAATCTGTTCTGAACTCTGGACTGCTGCTGAAGGGCCAGCTCCACTTGCCAACTATTTCTCCTGTCTCCCTGTGGGAGCACAAGGATGGGTGAACCATGTGGATTAGGGAATTTACCCACCTGAAATCAAACCTTACCCAACTCTTCTCCCCCAAAGGGATAATTTTTGGATAAATCTGTTCCCTGATCCAGCTTGCTGCATGGCTGCACAAGTGTTGCTGCTAGGATGAGAGGGAGGAGGAATGAGTACCTGAGGAAGGAGAGAGAAAGCAAGACTGTGCAGTAGCAGCCCAGGTTCACGTGGGATTAAAGTCACTGTGTAACCACAGCCTAATGCTAATGCTCCTGTAGAAGGCACAGCTGCTGCTTTGTGAATTACAGAGCTGGAAAGGCCACCTTATTTAAGTCTTAGCTAATTTTCTGCGGTCTGAATGTGTTGATCCTGTGTTGCTTCATCATTTTAAGTCAGTTTACGGTGTGTTGAAAATAGATGTAAAGATTGCATGATTTCTGGCTGAAATAGAATAGCAATACAGTCCTTTCATTTGTTGGGTCCCGAATTTAGTTTTTCATCGCTTTCAACTAAATTCGTAGTGTAAAAGGAATTGCCAAAATCATAGGCTCATAATCTTCGTGTGCTCCTGATACAGATGCAAATATGCGTACAGATACCTCCTTCTGTTTCTTTCCTTCTTCTGTCCTTGTGGTTTCTCCCTCCTTACTTTTTCTTATTTAAAATATCTTCTCTTTGTTCAGTCTAGCATGTATCACAGTGTAATGTATCCTATAAATGCATTCAACTTTTTTTTTCAAAAGCTACACTCTCCTCTTATTCTATTTCTGTGTCATTTGCCTTTCTCCTGCTGCTGCCTTGCCTTTGTGTGGTACTTTCTATCTTCCATGCTCTCATCCAAAGCTCTGCCCTCTGAAGACTGTTCCCTCCTTCCAGTCTGTCAACTTATTTTTTGGTTTTCCTCCCAGATACTTCATCTCTTCCCTAGTCCTTTCTGTATCGAATTCTGAGCTTGTGAATTTTGGTTAGTTCTTGGGTATCACCTCTATTTCTGAGATGCTTTTGTATTTAATGTTCAGCAGTACCGCTTACACCTGCTAGGTTTGTTAAGCCTCTGTGTTTACTTGCTAAGTGGGGAGATCTTCTTGTGGGTCTTCCTTAACAATCCGAGCCCTTTCTGGTCTTGGATGCTGTTGCCCAGCCAGCTGGGCTGTCACCTGCTCCTGCTCTGCTGAGACGTGGCAGGTTAGATG